TTTAATTTTTAAATTTTTTTAATTTTTGGCCACGTTGGGTCTTCATTGCTGTGCATGGGCTTTCTCTAGTTGCAGTGAGCGGGGGCTATTCTTCCTTGTGGTGCACGAGCTTCTCACTGCAGTGGCTTCTCTTGTTGCAGAGCACGGGCTCTAAGCACACAGGCTTCAGTAGTTGTGGCATGTGGGCTCAGTAGGTGTGACTTGCGGGCTCTAGAGCGCAGGCTCAGTAGTTGTGGCACATGGGCTTAGTTGCTCTGCAGCATGTGGGATTTGGACCAGGGCTCGAACTTGCGTCCCTTGCATCAGCAGGTGAATTCTTAACCACTGTGCCACCAGAGAAGCCCTGTCTTTTGATATAGTCTATTTTCCCCTACTCTTTTAATTTTGAAAAATTTCAAACCTTGAGAAAATTTATAAGAATAGTATAATTAACACTCATATATCATTTGCCTAGATTCACCAACTGTTATCTGTTAATTATCTCTCTTCATAGGGGTATATATATATGTGTATGCAATGTACAATATATATTATACATGATAATGTATAAAATATATAGCCATGTATTTATGTAATTTATATAATTTTTACATATCATATTACACAGACACACCTCTATACAGAAAGATAACAGTTGGTGAATCTAGGTGCATGATATATGACTATTTATTATACTATTCCTGTAAATTTTCTCAAGGTCTGAAACTTTTCAAAGTAAAAAATATAATAAACGTACATAAATATAAAAAATACTTACACATGCATTAAAGTTTTTAGTTTTTGACTGAGCAGAGTTAGCTGCAGACATCATACTTCATTCCGAGATACTTTAGCTTCAGTTTCCTTACATGAACATGGACATTATTTTACAAAACCACAATCAGGAAATTTTACTTTTGAATATAGTCCATATTCAATTATTATTCAATAGTCTGAACAATATCCTTTACAGCTGCTTCCTTTCCCTCTCCACATTGCATTTATTTATTTATTTATTTTTAAAGATTTAATTTTATTTATTTTTGGCTGCATTGGGTGTTCGTTGCTGCACGCGGGCTTTCTCTAATTGTGGTGAGCGGGGGGGCTACTCTTCGTTACACTGTGCGGACTTCTCCTTGTAGTGGTGTCTCTTGTTGTGGTGCACTGGCTCTAGGCATGCAGGCTTCAGTAGCTGTGGCTCATGTGCTCTAGAGCGCAGGCTCAGTAGTTGTGGCACAGGGGCTTAGTTGCTCTGCAGCATGTGGGATCTTCCTGGACCAGGAATCAAACCCATGTCCCCCGCACTGGTATGTGGATTCTTATCTACCGCTCCACCAGGGAAGTCCCTCTCCACATTGCATTTAACTGTAGTATCTCTTCAGTCTCCTTTAATTTATAACAGTTCCTCAGCCTTTTTATATAAGTATTTGCCTTTCTTCAAGTTTATATTCTTGAAGAATTCCAGCTAGTTGTTTTGGAAAATGTTCCTCAGTTTGGATTTGAGTGTTCCTCCAGTGATCTTCCTACCTTCAGGCCTTCTCCTTGCCAGTTTATTTTCTACAGTGTTCTGGAGTTAGTCTTTTTTTTTTTTTAATTATTTTTTAAATTGATGTATAGTTGATTTACAATGTTGTGTTAATCTCTGCTGTACAGCACAGTGATTCAGTTATACACATATATACATTCTTTTTCGTTTTAATATTCTTTTTCATTATGGTTTATCACAGGATATTGAATATAGTTCCCTGTGCTATACATTAGGATCTTGTTGTTTATCCATTCTAAATGTAATTGTTTGCATCTACCAACCCCAAACTCCCAGTCCATCACCCCCCCACCCGCACTCCCGCTCCACCACCCTTGGCAACCACAACTCTGTTCTGTATGTCTTTGAGTCTTGTTTCTGTTTTGTAGATAGGTTCATGTGTGCCATATTTTAGATTCCACATATAAGTGATATCATATGGCATTTGTCTTTCTCTTTCCGACTTACTTCACTTAGTATGATAATCTCTAGTTGCATCTGGAGTTAGTCTTTTAAAACAAAAATATGACCCTGATATTCCCTGTTTAAAAGCATTTGAAGGATCCTTATCACCCACTGGATAAACAAAATTCCTTATCATACCTTTCAAAGCTTTTCACAATTTAGCTCTAACAGCCCTTTGCAGGCTCATCTCTTCTAATGATTAACAGTTTGTACTTCAGGCATACCAAACACCAGATACTTTCTATAGTGTTATCAGCCTTTCCCCCTGCTTGGGGTATCCTCCTCCAGGTCAATTTATGTAGCCTTCCAGATTCAGTTACTTTTTTTTTTTGCCACGCCTTGCGACATGCAGGATCTTAGTTCCCCAGCCAGGGATTGAACCAGTGCCCTCGGCAAAGGAAGGGCAGAGTCTTAACCACTGGACTGCCAGGGAGGTCTCTCTTTGTCTTTTTGGTGAGTGCTTATAATCCTCCAGGTACTATGGTAGGTGCTAGGATACAATATAGTCTCTGTCCTTATGGAATGTTTACTGGCTGATATGTCATCTCTTTTGTGCTTCTACAGCACTTTATACACACCCTTATTGTGACATTTATTATATTGCATTGTAATTTTTGTTTGCATGTTTGTCACCCCACTGGATTTGAGCTTTTCAAGGGTAGGATAAATTTTATTCATCTGTTTCCCCAGGACCTAGAGTATAGCAGGCATTAAATACCATTTCATTCAATAAATGAATGAAAGAATAGCAAGTGTTCTCTATTTTGATTAAGGAATATGCTTTAATACAATTCCAGAAAATCTCTTGGTGAGGGAGATTTTTAATTCTTCAAATCATACTGCACCTTCATATGGTTAAAGGATGGGTCCAAAACTATTTCCAGTAGGAAGATGCAATAAATAATAGAGTAAGAATTACACTCCTCTGCATGAGTTGGCACTGCTGCTTCTATTAAAACTCCACCCTGTGATATAAAAAAATGCTTTTGGTCAGGGGGTACTTAACAAAGCTGTGGCAGCAACAGAAATTGAAACCAAGTCCTATGTCTAATTTATAATGAAAACTAATGCCCGGGTTTTTGTTCTTTTTCTTCTTCCTCTTTTGTTCCATTTTGGCCTAGCCCATACCTGTTGGATCACGTTTGCCTAATCAACAATAAGTAATGAAAGTCAGGTGTCTTAAGGTACAACTTTCAGATAAACATCACTGTTTATATGCTGTTCTGAATTATTTTCCAGGGTAAGATGACCTTTATAGATTATGATTATGTTGACACAGATCCCGGGGGCCACAGACCACTGGACTAAAGACAGGGTAGACCGCAGATGACTAAGATGATTAACCTCAGCTCCTTTGTTCTTCCCCTTTAAAAACTCCTAACTCAGAGACCAAGTTGGAGTGACTTGTCTCTCACATCCTCGCCTGGGTCCCTGCAATAAAATCTTTGCTGCAAACTCCCGCTGTCAGTTTGGCTTTCTGCACTGCGGGCACAGGAGCCCTTTGTTCGGTTTAAAAACGACAACTGGATTTCTTTAATATTGTCCTAAAACACATGTTTATGGAAAAAATGTGTTTACACTCCCACAAACAGCTTTCTGTCAATTAATCACTTTCCATTACCAGTTCAACTGATTCCTCTTGAACATCCATAGGGCTATTGCTGGTACTTTCTTATATCTAAATTACACTTTATGTTGTGCAGCATTATTTTGTTAGCTCCTGTCTTGTTTCTCTAGAGATTGCGGTTCCCTAAAGCTTAGTCCAGCACAGTACTAGTCACATAGAAAAAAGGACACACTTTTTAAACTGATACTCTCACAGGAAGTCGGACGATATTAAGACTATATTAAGGAACATAGTACTACTCCCTATCAAAAAGTGTATGTTCTCAAACTTAAAGTGCATAAGAATCACGGGGCGGGGGGAGGTCTTGTTAAAATGCATATTCTGATTCAGTAGGTCTGGGTGGAGCCAGATAATCTGTATTTTAAAGAAGCAGCCAAGTGATGCCGATGCTGTTGGCCCGCGAACCACGTTTGGAACAGCAAATATGTAAAGGACTGTGCAAAAGGAAGGCGACTTTGCTCCAAAACATATTTTTGAAGAGCGTTAATTAAATAGAAGTATGATTAAAGTGGAGCCAGGCGGAGCACTTCTTACCCAGCCTTAAACCTCCTCTTTTCCGATCCGTCTCCCCTCCGAGTCCAGCGAAACTTCCCACCTCTGTAAACCGTAAGAACACAAGCAGCAACAGGCCCAGCTACGGAAGATGCGAGCCCAGGTAACGTAGGAAGATACCCCTGCACTTACTAGGCTAAGAGTCCGGGGATTCGATGGGGTCCCGGCAGTGGCCTCTCCCTCGCCATAAAGAAAAATTCAAAATTAAAACCTTATCGTGGAGGGACCAATCGTAGCCTCGGTCTTTCCACAATTCGCTCTGCGTGTAGTGTAGGATCCCAGCCTGGCTTGTGATTGGCTGAGGTAGAACCACACTCCGGCCAATCAGAGCTGAGGCGCTTCTTGTATGAATATGGAGGAAGGCGGGAGCGAAGTGGAGGGGAAGCTGAAAAGGAAAGGTGTGTCACGTCCCCTTTGCTGTTTCTGGAAGCTTTTGTGTAATTGGTTGGCTCTTCTTCCGATTGCACCAATCGCAAGCTCTTCTCTGCGGAACTCTAACTGTGAAATTGAAAGTAGAGATGAGGGTGCAGCCAATGGAAAAAAAAAAGGGTACAGGAGCCAATCTTCCTGCGGCGTTTTGTGTCCTTGCCCAACAGGAAAAGGTGTTTCATGCGGAGGGGCGTTTCCCAGCCGCCAATGGGCGGGCGCCGGTGAAGCGCAGGAACCAATGAGCGCGAGACGTTGAATGACAGCTGTCCAATAGGGACCCTCAGTGCTAGTACGGTTTGCGGCTTAAGCGCCGCCGCGGTCTGAGGAATGTCAACTATTCAACATGGAGGCGGAGGTCGATAAGCTGGAACTGATGGTGAGTGTAAAATGAAGGAGACCTACTGGGTAGGTTATTCTTCCCCGATGGCCTCCAATGTGGAACGCAATTTGGAGTCGCCGGAAACCCTGGGCGGAGGAGGCTGGACTAGACTCGAGCTCCTCCTCCTGCACCAAAGGGAGTCGCCGCCGCCTGGTCTCTTAACAGCCGCGGGGGGAAGGGGTTACATCCGGGAAACTCGTGAAGGAAATGGCGGGAGATGCTGGGGGTCCGGGGCCTTTGGAATTCCTTGTTCCTTGCCCTCACGTTTTCGCCTCTCAAGGAACTGTGGCTGGTGCAAACAGCTTCTGTGTATTTCCACCAAAAAGACCTGACTGTAATGGTCTCTAAACTTCCCAAGAAGGGGAGAGGTTGTTCACAGTCCGAGAAAGGGGGACGGAGGGTGGGGAATAAACAGAGAAGGGGGGAGAGAAATCCCTTTAGGGCTGAAGCGTTCATATTCAGCCCAGGGCAGGCTGAGAAAGGATGCGAGAGTTGCGTGCACAACTTCCTAGCGGCCAAGGAAGCCCCTAGACCAGTTTGGCCCATCGGTGGCGGAGACGTGTGAGCCTTTGGAATCTCAACCACGAGCTTCTTTTCCTGGAGCGCGGGCGGGACCTGGGACGTGGGAGGCTCCGCTGCTCTGGAGTTGCCTAGTTTCATTCATTGTGAAAGTAGGGGGCGGGGGCGAATAATTGGGAAGGACTCCCGCGGCTGCTTGGCCTGGGGCGCCAAACTGGAGGGCCGTGCTGGTTTTTTCTTTGGATTCTTCCCTCACTTGTCCTCTTTATTCTCTCCCTCCCATCCCTAGACTACCGGCTTGATCGCCCGCGCTTTTTTCTTAGTTCCCTTGTTTTATCTTCAGTCCCTTTACCCCCAAGGCATTACGAGTGTTTGGATTGGGCTGGCTTCCTTTAAAATGGGGAAGTTGGAGAACGCACCCATCACTGAACTCCTGTCCGTTTTTTTGTTAAAGAAAAACAAGATTAAGTAAAAAAACCAAAATCTCCATCACAATCCTCTCCTCCCTGCCATTCCTTGGCGTTACTCCTTAAGTATCATTTGTGCCCAAGCTGCACCCTGGGTCTCTTTAATATCTGCAACGTGTAGTGATCTTGGAAGACCCTCACCCCCAGAAAATGCGAGACCTTGGTATATCTTATTACTGTTTTCTTCTGATGTATTAATGAATTGTAGTGGCTCTCATATACAAAATTGACTTTCATTTGCTTCTAACGTTTTGAATTTTGATTTTCTTTGTGGGGTGTGTGTGTGGGAATTGGGAAGGTGAGAAATGGCAGCAAAGAAGGAAGAATTTCCTGCAGCTTTCCAAACGCTAAATAATGAACTTTTAGTTCAAAGTTTTGTTATTCTTAACATTAACTGTCTTTCAAAAAACAAAACAAAAAAACAGTGTTAAGTATTGTAATTTGATTCTACCAACAGGCACAGATATTAACATTGTCTTGCCCATCTCCTCCATTATGAATTCCTCCCTCCAGATGGATATTTCTGCCTAATTGTAAGATGCTGAATGATACTAATTCTGCTTTTAACAGGTTTTTTTTTCCCCCCTCTCAAGTTGGCTTTTAATTTTGAGGAACCAATGAAGCCTTTTCTGGAGTTTGCATTAGAGTCAATAGTCTCACAGGACATGTTTAAGATTGAACACATTTTATTTTAAGGGGAAAGCAATTACGTGTACATCTTCAAAAAAAAGTACGTTTTAGAAAATTATGAGGTAGCCAGACTCGAACTTTTAGGTGTTTGAATGATGGGGTAGTTTTTAAAAATTCTTTTTATGAGAGGAAGAGAAGAAAACAGATCTTTCTTCTTAAATTCCTTTTAACTAACTTAGTCATAACTTTTTTTTTTCCTGTTCAAATTATTAGTTTGTTTCCATAATCATTAGGGTTTAAAAATTGTATTTGAACAATTACACTTTTATTATTACTGCTTTGTACTGGCTGGGTAGTATAAGACCATACATCTCACCTTTAGATTTGCCATGTGCTTTTATAAAAAAATGTTATATCTGTGAACTGGTTTATTTTCTAAGATTCCAAAGGTAAATGATTTCCTGTACAATCCTCTGATTTTTGGTTTTATATTACTTGAATAAAGGATTTGTTGAGGAACCAATGTTGAATATTTAATAAGTGAAATAGAATACCTATTATCTAACTTTGAAAAGAAAGTACTTATCTTAATTTTTTAAGATATCAAATATCCTGATCCTCTTAAGTTTAAAATTTTCATATTTTTTTCTAGTTTTAACCTGATTCAGAAAATCAAACATTTGTTTCTTTAAATTTTATTATTATTTTTTTCTTATTACTTATCTGTTTTATACATATTAGTGTATATATGTCAATCCCAATCTGCCAATTCATCCCACCCCCCCCATTTCCCCCCTTGGTGTCCATATGTTTGTTCTCTACATGTGTCTCTATTTCTGCCTTGCAAACAGGTTCATCTGTACCATTTTTCTCGATTCCACATATATGCTTTAATGTATGATATTTTAAACAATGGAAGGTGTTTTTGCATCAGTCAACATTATTAATGGAGGAATAAACTCATTGTAGGGTAATCTTTGTTCTATAACGTTTTTCCCTTCACTTATTGATTGAGTGGTATTTGGCTAGTGTCTTTCTTTTGTGATACAGCTAGAGATTGTACACAAAAGATAGTGCAATGTGATACTATTTCTATTTCTGTGTTGACATCTGACTTCACAATGGTTTCTTACCAGTTAAAAGGTTAGAATGTTAATTGGCTTGAATCCAAGGAAACCTCTTAAATCTCAGAGCTGTCTCCTCCTCCCATTATTATTTTCTCTTTGATTTTTCTACGCTTGAAGGAAATGGAGATGTTCCTCTTATATTTAAGATGTTTTAGGGGTTATCTGAAATTTTAAAATCCCCTTTCATAGCATTCAGTTAAGTAGGGCTAATGGTATCCTGTTTACGAGACATTGATTCCCTGGAAGTCTGTGAACTCTTGATATAAGATGGTAAGTGCTTTTTATATTGTAGTTTAGATTCGAGAGAGATAGGGTTTATAGAAATTGGGAAATATTATTTCACTTTTCATTTATTTTCTTTGGTAATCTTACTCAAAAGGCTAATTTTATGTGGCAGTTAATAGGTCAGTTGCTATGGAGGAGCTAACCAACACATCTCAGCAGAACAGAAATATTTTCACAACTTTGCCTTAAGTAGTAATTATAACCTGTTTTGTTAATACCAGTCCTGAGGTATTAACAATACCCATGTGAATAACTTATACAGCTTATAACATATTTACAAAATTCCTTTCTACATCTATGCATGTTTTCAGTTTGCATATTAATCATAGTCGTCAAAAACCAATACCACTTTGATATTTAAATCCTAGTCTTCTTTTTTTTTTTAACATTGATATAAATGTTCTTAGGTTTTGGATGTCTTCTGTCCAGAGGCAACCCTTCTTTGTATTCTTTTCACACTGAAGCTTCAACTGATGCAAGATGCTCTTGTGTGTCTTTCCTACCTATTACTGCTAACGAATGCTCTGACTTTATTGCACTACTGTACTTTACAGCTAGCAGTGCAATAGTATTGTCAAAGCATCTGAAAGCAGAATGTACACCAGAATTTTGGTTCTTGCCTTACATCTTTCTTCAGTGTCTGTGAGTAATTTACCAAAACCTTTGTTGCTGAAAACTATATAATTTTATTACAAAGTATATGTTTTAGAAAGTTATAATTCGAAAAAAAAATGTTTTCAACTAATTAAAAATTCACCACTGTAATGCATTATGAAACACACTGAGGGTACATTTTATAGCTAAAGTTGTTATGGCTTGTCTAAACAAGTAGTACTTTGTCATTTGCTTCTTTCTGTTACAGATTGGATAGGTTCTGACAAATCTCAGGTTTTCTTTAATTGAGTTTGAAGATGAATTAGTACGTGATGAATACAATCTTTGCTGTATATTTCCTGTGGTAACCTGCCTCAAATCTTAAGTGGTGTTAATTTTGTGTATTGTATAGAAAATGCTTGAGTTTAAAACTTTAGAATGCATGTCTTAATGTTCTTTTTGTAATTATGAGATATAATAAAATGTGACTCCATCACTTGTTTTTTTGTCATCAGTTTGAGATAATTTGCATAGAGTAAAACTCAACAATTTTAGTTGTACAATTTCATGAGTTTTGATAATTGTGTACAGTCATGTAACCACCACCACCAGTCATGATATAGAACATTTCCCTCACCATAAAAAGTTCCCTTATGACCCTTTGTAGTAAACCTCCCAAACTCCCTGGCAGCCACAGACCTCTAGTTTTGCCTTTCCTAGAAGTTCATAAAAATGAAATCATATACACAAACCTTCTAGTCTTTCGTGTCTGGCTTCTTGCACTTAGCATAATGCTTTTAAGATTCACCCATGTTGTTGCATGTATTAGGAGTTGGACCATCTTTATTGATGAGTAGTATTCCATTGTCTAGAATATCACAAATTGTTTATCTTTTTCACCAGATTATGGACTTTGTTATTTCCAGATTTTGCCTATTATGAATAGTTGTTCTAAACATTATAATACAAGTCTTTATGTGGACATAATGTTTTCATTTCTCTTGGGCAGCATGATAAAAGTATGATTGATCTTAAAAGAAACTGCTAAAATCTTTTTCAAAGCTCTGTATTAGGGTTCCAGTTTCTCCAAGTCCTCACCTCACCAACACTTGGTGCTATTGTCAGTCTTCTTCATTTTAGCCATTCTAGTAGGTGTGTAGTGGTATCTCATTATAGTTTCAATTTGCATTTCCTTAATGGCTAATGGTATTGAACATCTTTTCCTGTGCTTATTTGAAGTTGGTATATCTTCTTTAGTGAATATCTGTTAAAATCTTTTGCCTATTTTCAAATTGAGTTGTCTGTCTTTTTATTATTACAAGAGTCCTTTAATTTTATCTATTTGCCTTCTCCCTTAAAATTTTTTGATGGAGTCCAGTTTATACATTTTATTCTTCTATGGTTTATGCCTTCTGTGTTCTATCTAAGAATTCTTTGCTTAACTCGAGGTCACAAATGTTTTCTTCTAGAAGATTTATAGTTTTAGTTTTTACATTTAGATCTCAGTCCATTTTGAGTTAATTTTTGTTAGGAAGCCTTGAAATCATCTAGTATAAGGCTTCACCCATTGCTCTTGTTTTCTAAAACT